GCATGATATGCACAAAGTCAAATAAACAAAATAGTTAGATTACAAACTATTCCTTCTTGTGTCCTAACTTTGGGTTACATCTATCACTAGGTAGAAAAGGCTCTATCCTAAAGTTGGTTCTTTTAGGTGTTGATTATATACAGGGTTAGGTGATTTTGACCATTAACGATTTCCAAACTGTTTCTTACATCATCATCCATCATAAACTAGTAAGACAATCCAATCCTCACCCATCACAGGCTACCAACGAAAAGGATTTAATTTGAATGGGAGTATTTCGCTAGCCGTTATGGAGATTATCATCTCACGAGAGCATAGGTACTTTACTCCCTTCTAAGAGGGATAGAGCCTGGGTATAAAGCTCATGTAATGAAAATGTATGTGATAGTGTGTGTAAAGGAACATATAGGTTTCATGCCCTAAAAATAAAAGACAAAAATGTTAGTAAACATATAACACAAATCATTACAATTTAAACCATTAGACCAAAGGATATGATAAATTCAAAAATTATGGCTTGACTCTCTATAGCGTCTTTAGTAGAGTCGTCAAATTATCATAACATATAAATTCGTAAATCTAGCTAGACTTAACAAATTAAAAAGTCACCACCAATCTTTTTTAACTAGGTGTGATTGGCGACTTAATGAATCTATCCCTTTAAGAAGCTTCTAAGCTTGACGAAGGGTCCCTAAAAGAATAATTCGAGTCTACTAACCAAAACAGGGTTCGAGAGTTAGTTACATGTAGTAAAGGTTATAGCACCCCCACATGCTCATCCACAGGATGGTACCATATTATTTTAAATTTATCTTAGGGTCTTGAGTCTAATAGTTTCAAATTTTTATGTTAAATATTAAAAATAATTTTTAAGATTTTCCATCAATCTGGTAGAACTCTTAAAAAATATTTTCTCACCGTAAGAGTATTCAAGAATCCCATTTGATATCTTAAAGAGGCTCCATTGTCAGAAAAATATTTATTTGTTTTTTTTTGTCGAAAATATATCTAATTATTCCACCATTAGAAATATTCTCTCTTTTTTAATTTTTAAATTTTTCACAATTTGGGTCAATTTAAAAAATATTTTCTTTTTTCAAAATTTTTAAATTTTTCACCAATTGGGCCTATTTAAAAAATTTTTTTATTTCCTTTTTTTTTTTAAAGAAAATATTATGACAATTATTTTTATTGAAATTTCATTTAAATTATTTTACCATTTGGGATAAATTTAAAAAAAAAAATTTCACCTAGAGATTTTTTATAAATTTACCATTTGAAATTTCTAAGAATCTCATCCTTGGATAATTATTAAATATTTTCAACCCAAATTTTTATTTTTTTATTTTTTTTGGATTGAAAATAAATATTAATTATTATTATTGAAACTTTATCTAAATTATTTCACTATTTGAGACAATTTTAGATAGAATTTCTTACCTAAGAATTTTATAAATATTTACCATTTGAAATTTTTATAAATTTTATTATTGGATAATTAATATTTATTCCTAAAATTTATCTAATTTTTACCATTTTTTTAAAAATTAATCATACTAAAAAAACACATAAAAAATACAAAAAAAAAAAACAGCTCGGCTTGTGGCTAGGGAACGACTCGGCTTCAAACACAGAAAAAGGCTGGAACGACCTGACCCGAAAACGTTGACCCACCAAATCTTTTTTACTATGTGTGATTGGTCACTTAAGGAATCTATTCTTTTAAAAAGCTCTAAAGCTTGAGCACGGATCCCTAAAAGAATAGATTTGAGTATACAAACCAAAACAAGATTCGGGAGTTCGATTACATATGAAGAAAGTTATAGCACCCCCCACATGCCCATCCGAATGATGGTACCATATTATTTTAAATTTATCCTAGGATCTTGAGTTTAATGGTTTCAAATTTTTATGTTAAATATTAAAAATAATTTTTAAGATTCTCCATCAATCTGGTGAAACTCTTAAAAAAAATATTTTATCACTTCAAGAGTAATAAAGAATCCCATTTGATATCTTGAAAAGGCTTCATCATAAAAAAAAAGTTTATTTATTATTTTTTGTAGACACTATATCTAATTATTTTACCATTTATGTCAAATTTAAAATATTTTCTCTTTTTGAATTTCTAAATTTTTCATAATTTGGGCCTATTTAGAAATTCTTTTTTTTATTCTTTTATCTCTAATTTTTTCACCATTTAGGTCAATTTAAAAATATTTTCTTTTTTCAAATTTTTTAAAATTTTCACATTTAGGCCTATTTAGAAATTCTTTTTATTTCTCTTTTTTTTAAAAAAAATAATATGACAATTATTTTTATTGAAATTTCATTTAAATTATTCCACCATTTATGATAAATTTAAAGAAAATTTCTCACCTAGAGATTTATTAAAATTTTACCATTTGAAATTTCTAAGAATCTCATCTTTGAATAATTATCAAATATTTTCAACCTAATTTTTTTATTTTTTTGGATTGAAAATAAATATTAATTATTGTTATTGAAACTTTTTATAAATTATTTCACCATTTGGAATAAATTTAGATAGAATTTCTCACCTAAGAATTCTATAAAAATTTATCATTTAAAATTTTTATAAATTTTGTCATTGGATAATGAATATTTATTCTCAAATTTTATTTAATTTTTACCTTTTTATTTTTTTTATAAATTAATCATACTAAAAAACATAAAAAAATACAAAAAAATGCTCGGTTGCGATTGGAGAACGGTTCGGCTTCAGACATAGAAAAAGTTTGAAACGATGCAGCTTAGGGCACGGTTCACGACTCAGCTCGACTTGAGTTAAAAGTTAGAGATGGATCAAAAGTGGGTCAACATTTCGGGTTAGGTCATCCGGCGACAAAACATGTGGATCTTGAAAAGTTACTTAACGTCAAAACGACGTCATTTCAAGGCCCTATATAAGGTAAAATCTCAACTTTTTGCTTCAAATCTCCCCTTCTCTTTCTCTCTCTTCCCCCTTCTTTTCTTTTCCTCTCTCTAACCGAATGAACTTCAATTAAATATCAATCGAATTTTAGGGAAGGCCACCAGAATTTGGGTTAGTTCGTCAGACATTCACCGAAAAATTCAAATGTCATCAAAATCTCTACCGAATTTTAGTAAATCTTGCCAAAAATTCAACCGACGTCGAAAAAATTCATCAAAAAATTCAACCGACGTTCAAAAAATTTCGTCGGAATTTGAAATTTCCAAAAAAATCCCTTTTTAAAAAAAACCAAAAAAAAAAACTCTAAAATTTTTTTTTGCTTTCTGCTTGGTGTCTTTTCGTGTATGATTTTCCTTTTCTGTATGTGTGGGTATTTATAGTCTATGATGAGAAAAGTTTTTGATCAAATCTAAGTCTTACCTTTAACCGAATTTTTGCATCATCCCTGAACCTAAGGAATTTAAGACCAAATGCAATTCTGTCAACACCCCAAACACCATAGAATCTGTATTTTTTATTATTTTTATATTTTTTTTCAACTATTGTCCTATTATGAAAAGAAAAAAGAAAAAAGAAGAAAATTAAAAAAATCAAAATAAAAATAAAAATAATAAAATAAAATAAAATAAAATAAAAAACAAAGCCCATAAAAAATAATAAATAATTGAGCTTGACTTTTTAGACCCCATTAAGTCAGGCTTGATGGGCTTAGGCCCAAACCCTATTGAACCATGCTAATGAATTTGGGCCTAAACTAATTAAGGTGTCTATGCATGGCAAAAGAATATCATGATAATGAGAAAAAATATTGTAGGGATGCAATTTATTTCTTATGCATCCAAAAATACCCTTATTTATAGGATGGGTCTTAAAAATAATTAATAGGTGGTTTGTAACTTTTGAAAGTCTAATTAACTAAAATAAATTTAAGAACCGAATCAAGATCAATAATAGTATTTTAAATTAAAAGTAATTTATACTTGATAATTAAAATAGTGAAATATATTATGTATTTAACTTGTTTAGGAGAAATGAAAAAAATAAGGATTTTGAAATTAGTGTAATAATGGCAATGAAATTCATTTTATTTGATATATTCGAAAATTCATTTTATTTGATTTGATCATCTATTAATCATTTTAAAATTAATATATATACATAATAAATGTGTATACATAACTTAAAATATAGAGTAAATAAATAAGACATAGATTTCAAAATTGGAAAGTGAATTTTTTTTTACATAAATGTAACTTAATAGTTGATTATTATAAATGAAAAAAGTATGAAATTATCTTATTATAATGGTAAGTAAAGTTTTATTACCTTTAATTTGAATTTAATTGAGAATGATTTAAGGTAAATAATAATAGAAAATAAATATAATTAATTTAATTTTTTAAAAATAAATAAAATTTTATAAATTTTATATGAAATCAAATAAATTAATTAAATACAAAATATTTAAAATCGTCCATATATTAAAATAATAAACCATCCACCTTTGATTTTTTTTGTCAAAAGTTTTACCTTTTATATTTTATATAAGATATATTTGATTATTTAATTAATTTTATATTTATATATGTATTATATTAATAAAATTATTATCTAATGCTTTAATTTAAGAGGCTAATTTAATAAAAATAATATATTTATTATAATTAAGATATAATTTATAATAAAAAATATTGTTTTATAAATATTATATAAAATTTAAATTATTAAATTCATTTCAAATTAATTCATTTCAAATTCCAATTAGATATATCTAAATCAAAATCAAATATAAAAAATAATGACTAGACGTCCAATCATAATGAAATGGAATGAAATTATTAAAGATTTGAGTAGAGTCATTACTGACAAATTAAGTTACTAAAAGTCTTATGAATTAGTATAAAATAAGTAATTAGGGTTAAGTGACGTTTAGAAGGTGATCTGAGCAGATACGTAATTATAATATAAAAGTAAAATAAAACAAAACCAAATATAAAATTACAAAAACTTAAAATTATAAAATCACATTATTATATTATTATTAATACTATTATAAAATGATGAAGAATCCTAAAGAAAGGAATATAGGTTGTTCACGCAGGACACAGAAGCTCTGTCTCTGTACAGAAAGTGAATTACGAATGGATTGCGTGAAAACCTCGGACGAATCGTCTTCTCTGTCCCCTCCTCTTTCCGCAAATATTAAGGTTTTCCCCCTTTCTTTTCACTGTTTCAATTCCTTTCTTTTTCTTCTTTAAAGGAAAATTTTGCTCTTTTAATTTTCTGGGATTCAACTTTTTATGAATTTGAAGCCGTTTTATTGGAAAGTTTGTCCCTTGGAATAATATACTGCGTTCGGTTCAAAATAATGGCTGTTATTCTTTCATTTATTCTTCAATTTGTTTCATGGGTGTTCAATTGATTGTAGATAAATGTTGTACTTAATTTAGCAGATTTTTTTCTCTTCTTTTAGATTACTGTAGTTTTTTTAATTAATTGAGAATTTATGTGAAGAACCCTTGTTGAATTGTTATAATTGGGAATTTGGGGAATTGGGGTTTTTTCTTTTCTTTTTTGCTGGGTGAAGAATGATCAATAAATTGAACTTTTTTTTCGACTTTATTTGGTTGTTGAGAAAATTTTAGGATAGGTGAGGAAGTAAATTTTGAAAATGTTCTTTACTATTATTCTGATTTTGCTAAACTTTTAGGGAGAAAGATGTTATGATCTATTCTATTGAATTATAAGGAAAAAACCTACAAGAAAAATTAAACCTGCCTTTTTGTTGATGAATATTTGTTCTGACACCCTTACCTGAGTTTGTGCAACATTGTTTCTAATTGGCTTTATTTGGGAAATTTAAGAAAGGGTTACCATTTTTGACAGTCTCAGAACTCTAAGTTATTGTCGCGTTCTTTATTTCTCCCTGTTGACTGTATATTGGAATTTTTTAAAGAGGGTATTTGCCTGTTCTATTCTGGTTCACTGTTGTTGTTCTTTCAATTTTTGCTTTCTGATGAGGGTGCTGACACCAGCGGTAAAAGAGTTGATGTTGCAGAGATATACAGGGGAAGAATTAAATGAGACCATCTTTATTGTGATATACTGAGATGAGAATTTCTGGCTGCCATTGTTTAAATTTAAGAATTAACTAATTTAATTGGGAATAATACCATTTAATTACTCAGCGGTAAAAGGGGAAGTCTCTTATTGCTCATTTCTTTTCTCAGCAAACTTTCCAATTGTACATAAGGCATTCCAGTTTCTTTTCTCATTATACAATTTGCAAAGGAGATGGTATCTCCCCCTTCTTTAGAGCTTCCCATTCTACAGATGATGGTAAAATGCTTATTTTTTCAATTTGGTGGATCAGTTTATTTATTGATGATCTTCCTTCAAATAGATGGTTGTACTGAAACTACATTAAATTTCCCTTAGTTGACGCTGTTGTCCTTTTAATTCAACTCTGATGTCTTCCATTTTACTCTGCTTTTCTGTTCTTACCTCAGATACAAGATAGAGCCTGATGGTTTTGAGCAGGTTCATGTAGAAAGTTGCATATTTTGGTGTTGATTAAAATTTCTAGCCATCAAAGGTTTCAATATTTCTGGCGTTGATATATTAATATATTGCAACAGTAAGATATTGATGGGGGCATTCTTAAGTCTAAATAATTCCAGTGCTCCAACGAGTGACCCCTTAGAGGTTTCACAAAGTGAAGCATGCAAGAGGCAGAAGCTGTCATCATGTCTTTGTGAGGAGAACCAGAGATTGATTCCCAGCCTTCCTGATGAGATGTCCTATCAGATTCTTGCCAGAATTCCAAGGATTAATTACTTGAACGTGAGGTTAGTGTCTCGAGCCTGGAAAGCTGCCATCATGAGTACTGAGCTATTCAATATAAGGAAAGAACTTGGAAAATCAGAGGAATGGCTCTATATATTGACTAAGGTTGAAGGTGACAAGCTTTTGTGGTATGGCTTGGACCCTTTGTCAAGAAGATGGCAGAGGTTACCTCCAATGCCCAATGTTGCTTTTGAAGGCGAAACCAGGAAAGGTTTAACTAGCCTTTGGATGTGGAATGCGATGGGCTCGAGCATAAAAATTGCAGATGTCATAAGGGGTTGGCTTGGCAGGAAGGATGCATTGGACAGAATGTCATTTTGTGGGTGTGCCGTTGGTGCTGTTGATGGATGCCTCTATGTGTTAGGAGGATTCTCTAGAGCTTCAGCCATGAGTTGTGTTTGGCAGTATAATCCAGTTCTAAATTCATGGAGTGAAGTAAGTCCAATGTCAACTGGTAGGGCCTACTGTAAGACTGGCATCTTAAATAATAAGCTATTTGTTGTTGGAGGAGTTACCAGGGGTCGTGGCGGATTAACTCCTCTTCAGTCTGCTGAAGTATTTGATCCTCATAGTGGTATATGGTCCCAAATACCAAGCATGCCATTTTCAAAAGCTCAGGTTCTACCCACTGCTTTTCTGGCTGATCTACTCAAACCCATTGCCACAGGAATGACATCATATAGGGGAAGGTTGTTTGTGCCTCAGAGTTTATATTGCTGGCCGTTTTTTGTTGATGTTGGAGGGGAGGTATATGATCCAGAGCTAAATTCATGGGTTGAAATGCCAGTGGGCATGGGTGAGGGTTGGCCTGCAAGACAGGCAGGAACGAAATTAAGTGTCACTGTGGATGGTGAGTTGTATGCCCTCGATCCGTCTAGTTCTCTTGAAAGTGCTAAGATCAAGGTATATAATTACCAAGATGATGCTTGGAAAGTTGTAGTAGGAGAGGTCCCCATTCCTGACTTTACCGATTCAGAGACTCCCTATTTACTGGCTGGTTTACTAGGAAAGCTTCATGTGGTTACTAAAGATGCCAACAACAATATCTCAGTACAGCAGACTGACGTTCAAAACCATTTTACTTCCCTACCATCTGCCTCATCATCTTCATCAGATGAATCTTCTGGTGTGCACGCTGAGTCTGCTGAATCTGCAACAGTTATCAAAACAGATCTTTGGACGGATATTGCCACAAGGACTGTTCGATCTTCTGAACTAGTAAGTTGTCAGACCCTCAATATCTAGTGCCATCATCAGGGTACTTAGGGATCTGACTCGGCGTCAACTTTCCAGAACATTGGTTGATACCATATTCTGTTGCCCATTTTTTTTTTTACTAGAAAGATTGATTTTGCAAGCACCACGGTGATATTGTGATTTATATAAGTCATAACCTATCTCTCGTATCCTTTTATAATGTAAAGAATGAAATTATGTGACGCTGGAAAGCAAGATAGCTCGGAGTTGTCTTCGTCCTTGTTTTGTTACTAGCTTTAATGAATTTTGCTTATTTTCTAATCTCAAGTGACAGCACAGTATCTCCATATGGTCATTGTTGTGAGAAATTGAGAATAATGCCATTCAGTATTGACGTCATTGAGTAATTTCCATTTAAAAATGTGTGTCCAAATATGTATGTATCTTCCAAGATTATTTTGGTTTAAAAAAAAAATCATAGTATGGGACAAAAGAAGAAATCACGGTTATTGAAATTTAAATTTGTATAAATTAATTAAACTAAATTTCAAATTCACTTTTCAAGATTTTTCGTTTTCTTTTTCTAAACCCATCAAAAAGAACATGCTCATCGGAAATAGCTAGTTGAATCATCCATGAGTTGTAAAACCAGTAAAAACAATGTCTCCAATGATTCTGTACGTGTGCTGATGCATCTTTAGCCACTTTGGCAGTTTGAAATTGAGCATAGGCCTCTATCAAAGTCCAGTTTATGCAACACATTAAAAAAAAAAAACCCTAGAATGCCTGGAATGATAATAGACTGGATGGCAAGAAAAATTTTCTAAGCAATATGTAATACTTGAAGATCGGTCCATGGGACTCTGCCAGGTTATTATATTGTTATTAGTATTTTACATAATAATTATACCATGGAATGGCAGGTGAAACCGCTTCACTCTTTATTCTACAAAGTTAAAAAGGGCTTCTCTCTTGGAGAAAAGATTTTCCAGCCTCCTCGATGCTTCTATGATGCGCTCTCTATGCCCAAAAGCACTAATTCTGATATACTCTGCACCAGCAGGACCAAAACCAGATCCTGGTACTGTTATTATATGAGTCTTCTCAAGAATTTCTGTGAATACGCTCCATGAATTTGAACCTGGAAAATGCACCCAAACATATGGGGCATTTACACCGCCATAAACCTTTAGACCAAGAGAGGCAAAAGTCTCTACCAATATCTTCGCATTCTCCTTGTAGTAGTCAATCACTGAATGGATGGCCTGAGATTTTTCCAAAAGACAAATTCAGCAGTCCTGGTCCTCTACAATACTCGGACTTAATATTTTAGCAGCTAAACAAAGTACCACATCACATAGTATACTTATATTTTGTTAGACTTGCATGCCAAAATTACATTCCCACCTACTTTTGTTTCTCTTCAAGGTTTGGCTCAAATCTGAGTAAAATTGTTTACCTTCCTAACAACCACAAATGCTATGTACTAAAGCAGGTTGATAAAGAACTGTTTCAAATTATTATCTCCACCTCTGTTTTGTTTGCAAGAGCCTCTTTTCCGAAGCAACCCCCCCAAAGCTACCAGAGGAGTAAAAAACTTAAAAATTTTTTAGAATTCGTAGAATGATAATCAGTGAACTCCAACAAGGAAACTTTCCCATATGAATATTTCTGTCAAACAAACTATTAAGCTAACTCAAGAGAGAAAACACTCTCATTTAGGGAAATTAATCTTACCCAAACCCTACAGGGAACGCGATTTTCTACCCTACTGGGATGAGGATGAGTATTAAATTTTGGGAATGGAGTCAGGGATAGGCATGGTTTGAAATTTTTTATCCTACAAAGATTACTCATACTCATTAAATATCTACAGGAATAGGGATAGAGATGAATTTGAAATATGCACTGAGTATGATTATGGGGATGGGTATAATATCAAAAATTAGAGATGAAAATGGAGAATGCTCTACCCACCCCATACCTTACCCATTGACATCCTTACTCTCATTGGACATGACTGCAGGCACTTCAATAGAACAACAATAAACTACAAGTTGGCCCTTATGATTTACGAACTTTCTCAAACAGTCTCAAGTAACCTCTATAACATCATTATATTGTGGAAGATCTTGATGTGACTAATGTGGTTATTAGAAAGCACATGCATTACTTTCATGAAATATGCCTATGCATGCAAGCACAATCCTGTACACTATGCAGGCAAGCACAATGTTTTACACCCTCCTAATATTTACAGTGTAAGACTTTCTTAGACTAACTTCTAGTATTTACACTTACCTGGAAACCTTCTGAAGAAAGGCAAGCTAGTCCACCGGCCTGAGCTATGTTGGATGCTCCATTGAAGCAAGTGCATACAATACGATTGAAGTCATTTATGACAGGAAACCCACTTGAAAACAAGAGTTCCTCAGGGACCACCGTCCAACCAAGACGAACTCCTGTGAACCCAGCAAATTTGGAGAATGATGAAATTTCAATTGCAACCTGAGGAAAATATTTTTTCTTTTCAGGATAAGCTTAACGCCATGTAAATTGATGTGCTGTACTTCATGAAGCAAATTAACAAAATATATATTGTCCGACTCTGAGCCATCTCTCTGTCTCTTAATATATCTATGTATCTCAGGAAGCATGAGAAATGAATTTAAAATTAAAATTTTCATCCAGGTGATTTCAAATTTGTTATTTAATATCCAACAAATCAATGGATTTGATATATAAGCATGAAATTCATCATGAACTCTACCACACAATTATACTTTCAAAATCACAAATCCTCTTTAAATTGGTGACAATCAGTTTTTACTAGCTGCCATAAGAAATTTTATCAGGTCTACTTAAGAGTCCCAAAATGAACGAATTCTGCTCCAAAAGCTTTTATCATTTCCATCTACCATTCCTATGTATTGATCATTAACCAAAGCCTTGTAAGTTATGGTAGTCAAATAAATGTTAACTGGTCTCTAGCAGTTAGTTCCAATTCATTAGTGCTTAATCTATCGAAAGGCAAAATAGCCAAATGATATAGATTACCTCTCAATTACAGAACCATTACAACCTTACTTACAGCAGAGGAAACAGGAATTTTTCTTAGTTAGATGACATGTCAGCAGCTTACCTCTTTGGCACCAGGAATTTCAAATATTGATTTAGGACTGTCATCAGTGATATACGCTGCATAAGCAGAGTCGAAAATAATAATTGATCCATTATCCCTAGCAAACCGTACAAGCTGCTTTAATTGTGTCCTTGTTGCTGCATGACCTGTAGGATTATTTGGAGAACAAAAGAAGATAATATCTGTTCTAGGAGTGGTTGCTAAATCAGGGAAAAAATTATTTTCAGGTCCGCACAGCATGTATTCAATGTTCTGGTACTTCCCAGTTTTGTCTTGATAATCACCAGCCTGGCCGATAATAACACTTGAATCTATATAAGCCTGTTGCAAAGCACATTTTCCATCTTAAATTTTACATCTCTGATTCAAGGATCAATCGTAAATCATTAAAAAAGCCTAAAATGATCAATTATCAGTCAATCATAAGGTATGTTGTTTCTGTACAAAAAGATTCAGACATGTGACAACAGCAAATTTCCAGGCACCAACCAGGAACTTTCATATGAAAACTAAGAAAATGTATGATGAAATTAGGTAATATTTCATCTAATTGTTACTATAAGGATTCCTCCCTCAGCACAATAAATTACCCCCCAACATGTTTCCAGAGTTTCCCAATTAGTTTCCAATAACATATTTCCCAAGAAATAGATCTCCCAGCACAATTATCTAAAGAAAAATAAGGTAATTTGTTTAAAGTATTTAAATTTTAGTTTTCCTTTTCTTTTCCTTTTTAATCATATTAAAAAGCTTACTCAGTTTGAGGAAATTAAAGGAGGAAAATGGTATAGACAATGCAAAAAGTATGATGATGATGATGATGATGGAAAACTAAATTGTGGTGTAAATACAATAGTACAGTTCCTGTAACATCAAATCTTCAGGCAAAATACTAATTTAATTTTCATGAGAAGAAAATGAACGTGGCGGAGATGTGGATGCTTAGATGGATGTGTGGTAAGACTAGAAAAGACAAAATCATAAATGAAGAGATTCGAGAAAAATTAAGGGTAGTCCAAATTGATGAGAAAATGAGAGAGGGTCGTTTGTGATGGTTTGGACATGTGAAACATAGGCCTAGCTGTGCACCGGTTAGAATAATTGAGTCTCTAGATCTAGGAGAGATCAAAATGTTTAGAGGTAGACCACGAAAGATACAGATGCAAGTAATAAAAAACGATATGATGGTTAAGGAATTAGATGAAAAAGTGGTTGTTGATAAAAATGAGTGGCGTAAGAAGATTCAAACTACAACCTAACTTGATTCTCTTATTTGGTTTTTCATACAGTCGACCCCAGAGTATCGAATATAAGGCTTAATGTGTTGTTGTTGTTGTTTTGAAAAATGAGTTAGTTTCTTATGTGTAGTGGTTTTTTTTTTTTTATTGGGTTAATGTCTTGCACAACCTCTAAATTATAGTGAAATGTTCAATGTGATCCCTAAACTTTAAAAATCTCTAATGTGGTACCTAAACTATAAATCTTTTAACTAATATAGTACTTACCCTTAATGTGATTAGCTCCAAATGATGACACACGACTGACAAACAACCCTCCATGTACCACATTAGTTAACAAATTCATAGTTTAGGTACCACATTAGAGATTTTTAAAGTTCAAAGACCACATTGAATATCTCACTATAGTTCAAGGGTTGTTCAAAATATTAACCCTTTTTTATTTGCATATGCAAGCTCCAAACATTATGACAATAAAAAATGTATTCAAAATATTAATTATGCTTGTTTATTACTATACTTATATCCATATTCAGCTTTCTTGAAGATGTTTTTGCTATTAGGAAAGCAACATGCAGTGGCACAAAATAATTAATAAAAGGTTAAACAGAGAGATCATAATGTCACCGGAAAAGATGGATCCTGCACGGCTATTGTCACCTTTGAACCTAGAAGCAACTGCAAATATAGAAAGAGATGAGCATTTAGCACATAAGAAATCTACAAGTTAGCTCCAGTTGTAAGCTTACTCGCACAAGATGCTGGCTAAAGGAACAAAGAGGGAGGTACAAAAAGAAATAATCTTATAAGAGTAACCTGAAGGCGGGAAATATCACACTGAGAACCATCTGATACAAAAACTTCTGTGTCTTTTATGACTACATCTTTGTAGAATGTTTCTGCAATTGCTTTCCTTAATGCCTGTTAATATAATAGAAGTTAACCTGATAACAATTGCTTAAACAATCATCCCTACTAAAGCACAAGATAAACAGAACCAGCACAAAATTACATCTCAGACATCCAAAGGGAATTCAGTATTTTGGAGCAGTGCAACCTTTAACCTTGCACATATAATTTAGTTTCAAAATAGTATATACACATTGTTCACTGGAAGCAGGATAAATGATTTATCCTCTGATTTTCTCAGCTAGGCTCATAAAACTAATTTAATACAGAGTCACCTAAGCCATACTACTGGTAAAATACTAATCATGAGTTGGCTACAAAGAAACAAAATGGTCTAAGAATCTCACAGCTAATGGCTGTAACAGATACATTGAATTTCAAGAAATGAATCAATAGTGTAATCAGCAAACAAACATGTTCCTTTACAATAAACCAGAACTGGAGAAACAAACACCAATATACCTGATTTCCTTGCTCAGCTCCATACCCTCTATAACCATCAGCAGTTGAAAGGGCACATGCATACTGTAAAATAACATAGAAGTGAAATACTTATTTCTCAATCAAATGAAGCAAACTTCATTTTATCCCATCACAAAGATGGAAAATGGGTTATTTATGATGGCTAATTCATTGCCTAAATCCCTGCAAAAGGCATACTCTTGATTAAAGGTGCTTTGCTTTATATGTGCAGCACCTTAGAGCCTAGGTGTGCAACACTGGCCTTAGGTACAAAACAATTTCTGCAAACAAGAAGATATGTGACTAACCATGGACTCTTCATCATAAACAGCTCTCTTAAGTCTTAAATTTAAAACTCAGGACAGTAGGACATTGATAGATTCAGAAAACATTTCAAATGTACAGTTGAAAATTTTATAGCCAACCATTTCAAATATAGAGGCTTTGAACAAGTTTGGTTGCACTGAGATGAACCCTGAATTAGACTTCAACCAACTAGCCTACCATCAATCTAATAGCGTATGTTTGAAAATTTCTTGTTTAAGTTAATGTTAACATAAGCCTGTTCCATCTAGGTCCATATCTCGATTCTCAAATCTTAAAGACTGTAGCAGCACAAACTATAAGAACAGACAGGAATTTGATTAGACTTACATTAGCCATGCTAAGGCTAATTTTCTGAGGAATGGGCTCTGTGGTATCACCAATTCCAAGGCTAATCACTCTTGCATTTGGGTACTTATCCAGGTGATTGAGCTCCCGCTTTGAAATCTGTTTCCAATCCAATTCGAATCAAATAGCAGCAGCAAATGGTAAAATATTATGTCATCTTGGTTAACCAAGAGAAATCCAAGCAGTGGAAGTTTTAAAATTAGTAAAGAAATAGATAATACGCTTGGTAAAATGGATGAAACTAAGAGCCCAGATAATAAGGCAATAATATCTTGTGCTTAAGAATCAATTTGATCATAAAAAACTATAATTTCAATAAAAAAAAAATTTGCAATGTGGGAATAAATAAAAGGTCCATCACCAGTGACAAAAGAAGGGCTATAAGTTTTCTCCATTCTTATTAGATTGAAGTGCCACCATGCAAAAAAAAAGGAGCAAAGGAATACTTATGGGATTATAAAGATCATCTATGAGGACAAAACTAAAATATCAAACTGGTATGAACCTAAATCCTAGCAGAAAAGATGTCAGAATAGAAGATTATAAAGATAACCTCAGGAAACAAATAGTTATTTTGCAGCTTTTCCAAGTTTACATTGCGGGGTACATTTGTGCAATGACCTGTGATCACACAAGTTAAACTGTTCATACCAAATTTGCGGCTAAAGAAACCTTAATAAGAAAATTAAAAGAAAAACAACTAATAAAAAATGGACTTAAACAAATTCAATACATGGCACATACCATTTCCCTGCTTTTGAACTCTCAAACTGTATGCCAGTCAACAAACAATGACACAATTTAGAGTGCAATGCATAAAATGGTAGAAGGAGATTTGAGAAAATTTTATCTATATTTGACATTTCCAAGATCCTATACCTGGGCAGGACCATCTTAGGCTGAAAGGAAATTCCACAGGTCATAGAACAGCAAGCTGATAGCTTGTACATTTCGGTTTTGGATACTTTGCACAAAGACAAGCTCCTCTAATCTTCTTGCTTTGGTGTGGGATGCGTAGTGAGAATGCTTCCATCCACTTTGACAAATATATAGATCCATGCTACAGTCAATCAACACTCCGTAAGTTTCCATGATAAACTATATGTCACCCTCAAACTGGATTTATTATAGATATAAAGGAGGTGACTCAAGCAGAAGTCAGTCCTTGGAGGAAGACACATGTAAAGTCGATCATTTCACACCAGATGTCAATGTTCATAGCTTTTCATTTGTTGACAGTACTGGTTAGACTAGTGCATGCATTGATTTTTAATAGTAATATAACAAAGAGTGACAGGTCTATTTCCACACCTTCACCTAATGTCTTCCTTTATTCCTTTTCCCCCATTTACGTGATGCTCTTTACTTCTATAGTACAAGGGAAATGGTTCACTTTTTTACTTTGATGTGGCATTTGCAATCCTTAAAAGTGCCACAATATCTTTTAAAAGGGAAAGGAAACTGTACTAATATATAGGAAACATTTTGAAAAGAACATCAATTCCTATCTATCAATGAAAGCCATCTCTTCCGTTGCTTGTCACTCAAGCTGTTCTAGCTTATAAAAGATGCCCATATCTATAGTCTAGTCACAATTTTTCCTATACAAAGAAAGATGAATCAACCCCTAATAGCAAGCTATAGCTTGTACATTTTGGTTATAGACATGTTGTACAAATACAGCTCTTCTAATCTTCTTGCTTTGACATTAGAAGAGCAGCAACAGGAATTGTTATCCATATGTATTGACAGACATATAGGTTCATAACATAGCTAATCAACAATCTAAAACTTAACATTGTAGGATATATTTCACCCTCAACCGGGATTTCTTATGGATATCACGAAGGTGACCCATGCAGAAGTCAGTCCTTGGAAGACGAGACATCTTAAGCTGATCATTCAAACCAGATGTCAATGTTCAGAGCTTTCCATATAGATAGTAGCTATCGGTCTACAGCATGCATTGATCTTTAATAGTAATTCAGCAAAGAGTGACAGTTCTATTTTACACAGCTTCACCAAATGTCCTCCTTTATTTCTTTTTCCTCATTTGCATGATGATCTAGCCTTCTATCATGCAAGGAAAATGGATCCAAATTTTTCATTGATGTTGCATTTGAAATCATTGAAGTGCCACCATCTTTTTTGAAAGGAAAGCAAAATATACCAGTTTAAATTAAATGTTCTGCAAATAACATACAAATTCGTCTCCGTCAATGGGAGCTTTCTTTTAACCAACCATCACTCAAAAGCCTAGAATATAGAATGATAAGACGCCACCTAAATATTAAGATACGATGTTTTTAGCCTGTCATTCTAACTTCAGGTAGTGTTTAGACTAGGCCTGCTTCTGCTCACCTTATAAAGCTGCCAAAAGAATCGACCATTTAAATATCACATGCGGTGGCTTGATAATAATGGACCTTTCGGACTTGATTACTTTGCCACATGTTGGAAAAATTATATTTCAACTTGAATGTTAGAGTAGCATGTAGCATAATCTAGATGCTTAATACAACGATTGACTCCATACCTGATAAGAGTTCTTTATCCTCTTTGATATGTCAAATGAGCATTTCCTCCGTCAGGTCTTGCATTACATAAATGCATGTGCCATAGGAAAATCTTGACTAAAAGGATTCTTGTCATTAAAATAAACCACATATCACCTCCCACTATTTACTAGAGATGAAAGTATTATATCAATCTCCGCTAGTTCATTCCAATTTCCATGTTGAAAAGTTCCAGTCTAAATTTCACCAGTTGTACAAAAGTTTAAAAACGATTTGTTAAAAGAACATCCTTCCATGGCACAAATAAACTTCCAAGAAACTTCAAACTAACCAATCATCATAAGCAACAAAACAAAGAATCTTGACTATAATTGTCATCATATTCAGATACAATTTTAGTCTACACAAATTATTGTTGAAAAAAGAAAGCCATTTTGACTTCCACAAATATGATCAACCCCATAGTATTTATATCAAAGCTCTGCATAACAAAGAAATTATATCGAATACGACATCTCCAACGTATGAATGCCATTTGCAGGAAAAGAAATGAGTAAGCACCTACCTTCCACCCTAAAAAATTAATACAGAGAGAGCTTAAAAAAATCTGATCTTTAAACATTAATATTTGTGAAACTAAATAGTCATTGACATTGAAGAATAATAAATTAGTATTCGACAGAAACCATAATCTGAAACATGGAAAATAACAAGTCAATGAACACCCCCTACCAAGAATGTTTCAGAGCAATAGGTTTTGGACCTTATGATTTTATTTTATATTATTTGAATCTAAGCATTCTCAATGGAAAAAATGAATAAAACAAATAATGAAATAGTCAAATAAAAGATAGTAACAAAAATGAGGAAAAGTGGAAACAACTAAGCACCTAACAGTGTAAACCTGGAAAGTATTAAGCAAAAAAAGACAAGGAAAAGTTGAAGATGGAGACATTTCACTGGTGTTTTAATTCTTTCTTTATCGCCCCAGGAGTGCTTTCCATTTTCCAACCCCAAATAATCTTCCATTACTATCCAAAAAAGGTGAAGCTGTCTTTCAACTGTCAAGCTAAAGCCATGATTTTCCGAGTACGTTCTTGAGAAAAGAAAAACCGAGTGGGGAACTTACCAACTGTTGATGTCTTTAATAATTTTACCCTGTTTGGATTCTTTATCGGGTTTTGATTTTCCAAATCACAAATTTATTAAAAATCCAAACACCTTGTATCCTGTCACCCATCTTTTCTCTCTTTCCAACGAAAAAAGAATTTTAAGTCTCAATCGAGCTGATTTAAAAAAAAAAAAAAAATCATTATTTTAAAGTTAAAAAATCTAAAATCAAAAGTAAATTATTTATTGTTTTATTTTTTTTGTTTAATTTTGTATTTAATTTTGTAAGATTTTATGTTAAAATATTTTGATGTGATTAAAAATGTTTTAAAAATTTTTAAAAATAAATCTCTCAAAAATTTAAAATTTCTAAAAATAAATGTTGAGTAGGTTTTAAAAACTTTCAAAATATATTTTTGAAAGTTTTTAAAGATTTTCGAATATTTATTTTTAAAAACTTTTAAATGATTTTAAAAATAAATTTTTGAAATAGGATGTTAAAAATAAAAAATTAATTAATTAATAAATATTTAAATAAAATTTTATTAAAAATTAAAATTTTAACTGTATTAAAAAAATATGATGTAAATAATAATTTTTCTTTTTTCCCACTTTTTAAATTTATTAAAAAATATTTTTATAACTAATTATATAAATTTAAATTTAAATTTAAATTTCATATTAAATTATTTTACTCTTCAATAATAACAAACTTTCATGAGGAATTGAAAATAAAAACTAACTTATTTAAGTAAATTTTGAAATTAATAACAAATAGTTTATAAATATATAACAATTTAAGTCTTCAACATAAACTAACCATAAAAAATGGAACAAACAAAATTATAAATTTAAAATCAAATAGATTATAAAAATATATATATCTTCTTTGAATCATGCATTATGGGTTTTTATTTCATACATATTTCAAAATTCACTGAATTAAAATATTATTATATGTTGTTTATCGAATTAATTTTTTTTACTTATTAAAATATGTGACAATCCTTTATCCTCATTAAACAATACATTACATAATTTTCATAATTTAGTTTTAAAACATTATTACACATCGTTTTATTTTATAAGTAATGCTATTTCATCTTTACTATTTTTGTTTTTTTTTTTTGGCAAAATGTCATTGAAAGTGAGATCTACCCATTGGTCTAACTTATTCATAAAAGCTACCAATAATTATTTTGTCATGACACAAATAGTAAGAACAAAAGTAAATGGTCAATAGTTCCTTATTTTCTACAATTATTTTGTAAGTTGCCAACTAAGTTTGATCTCGACTAACTTGATAAATTTGACTGAATTTAGTTTTTTATATGACAAATAACAATCATAAAAAAAAAAAAAAGGACAAGACCCAAAAGTGAGATTAGTGTTTTTTTAGAGGATTTGAGTTTTAGAGACAGAGAGAAAATGAAATTATTAATGAGAGAAAAAAAAAAGTAGGATTAAGTACTAGATTATTATGCTTGCCATGTACCAAATAATTTTACCTAATTAATATAGATATTTGCAAACAAATTATTTTTTTTCAAAATTATATTCAAATCTTTAAAATTTACAAATTATAATTAGAAATCTAATCAATCTAGAGATATGTTTTTTAAAATTAAAAATCTGAAATATGGATTTTATCTTCTTAATAGTTAATTTTAATCATTTATCAAATAATCTTATTTAAGAAATTATTTAATTATCAAAAATTTTAAAACATGTTTAAAAATTACAAAAATTAAGTTTATCTAAATCTTTCAACAATTTTTTTTATCTTGATTTGAATCAATAAAAAATTATTTTTTCAAAAATTTACATGAAACATTGAAAATTCAAACAATTTTACCTAAGACATTAAACATTTAACTAATTTTTTATATTAAATATTTAAATAATAAGACCATCAAAAATAATTGTATCCATCGGAACACTAATTTTCAAATTTATATTTTAAATATATGAAAAAAAATTGATTTCATCTTTATATAAGAATTTTATATATGTTATAAATTTAAAATTTTGAATATAATTTTAAAAAAAAAATAATTTGTATGTATATATTAATATTAAATAAGTAAAATTATTTCATGCGTCGCACAATCTTAATCTAATATAAGATATGCATGTGACCAACCTAATAAAATATCTATATATATGTTATTATATATATAATTTTTAAAATATTCATTGTTTTTAAAAAGGGAAAATAAAACAAAATGTAAAGAACAAAAAAGAAATGGGCCTTTTTAGAGAAGATTCAATGAAGATTTGTTGTCTTGGCCCAACAAAAGTTCTTTAGGTTAATGGATCGAACTTAAAATTAAAATATATATGTATATATATATATATATATATATATATATACACACAATTTCAAAGATATAATTTTAACATATGTATTTTATTATTATTATTCATTTAAAATATATTGAAAGTAAAGTATAAAAAAAAAATTCAAAGTAACCTACAAAGGTTACTATTTACAATGGCAAATTTCAAAAATAATCCCTCACTTTTTCTTTTTTTTGATATTGTTTCAGTCCTTAATTTTAGAATTATTAATCTATGATTGGTTCATTTTTATCACATTTTCCCATAACAATTAAAAAACTATCCATATGAAACGTCAAGAAAATATCCCTCATTTTCGTGATAGAATTTATTCAGTCTCCAATATCCAAATGTTCTTTCTTCAAAATTTTCTCTCTTTTTTTTAATTTTTGTATTTTGTTTATTATGACCTTCGACGCTTGACATACAGAAATTAAACTGGTTCTGGCCTGGAGCCGTCTGGCAATAGACCTCGTTGTAAACATTGAATCTTGTCCTTTTTGAAAATTAGAAGTAATCAGGATATGATGGAAAAAAGTTTACCGTGTAATTATTGGTGTAACATTGTTCACTAACATTTCAGTACATCAAAATAACATGGGTGCTTCAATAGCCCTTCATGCCAAGTTTTTACCATAGCTCCTAATGTCTTCTTGATTGCAGTTGGCAGCCCTATAAAAATTACAGTAAAGATCAAACAATTCCACACAACATGTAATATAAGTTACAACAACAGGATAAATGGGGGCCAAAAAAAAAAAAAAGAAAAACTATATGCACAAATGTGAAAAAGGCGACTCTAAAATATAAAACCAACTCTGCCTGAAGACGTTCTATTTAAAGAAGTGGTCATCTAGGACCAGATAACTCATCTGGAGGGATGTGAGATGTGGAGTCTGCAATAATCCAATTAGCATTCGGGAGGTGGGTAGGCGTATACTCTTGGCGGAACATTTCTTCTTTCTGCCACTCTTCCCATCTTTCAGCCAAGCCGTCACCCTCCAGCATCCTCACGACTTCAGCCATCTTAGGTCGTTCCACTGGGGAGCCTTGAGTGCACAAAAGAGCCACCTGGATTAGCTGTTCCACTTCGTCTTCTATGTAATTGCCCTGAAGATCAGAGTCAACCAGCGTTTCCAACTTCCTCTCTTTCAGAAGCCCTTTTACCTGAAATTTCAGCATCGCTATCAAGTTGAAGCGAAAAAAATTAAAAACATAAACCATTCGTGCCAGTGATAAGCTTTAATTGAATTTAATTTAGTTAATTGCTGTTGACAAAGAGGCACAAAAAAAAACATGGAGCACAGATCAATGTCAAGATTATAGTAATTAATTACATAAAAAAAGAAAACTTCATGGCATACCTAAAATTAATGAACTGAAAGGATCTTAGGAACCCCACATAACTTGAGCGATAAAACTTAAAGAAAAGAAAAGATAGGTTCATCCCTATCAACAAATTTTAGCAACTATTTTTATATTTTCCTTTTACCTCTTCACCTTGTAGAGAAAACATTGTCAAGTTTCGACTATTTCTACTTTTCTGCTTTTGCATTTTCACCTTGCAAGGAAAATAAAATTGAGCTTCACTCTGTTATAAGGGTAGTTCTGCTATACTGTACTTTTGTCTATTGCTTTTGGCCAACCAAGTGAAACAAGAACCGAATAATTCCAACACTAGACAAGAATGACAAAAGTCAAACTGTGAAATGCACCACGATTGAGACACATGTAATAGGAAAAACAGTACATACCCATTCAAGCAACATGACATCATCATCATTTGCAAGCCGAGCAAGATCGAAAGCCCTCTGTCCTGTAATGAGTTCAAGAAGCATAACACCATACCCAAAAACATCAGTTTTCTCTGATGACTTTCCAGTTGATAGGTATTCAGGAGCTATATGACCAATTGTGCCACGAACAGCAGTTGTCACATGAGTATCTTTATAGTCCATCAGTTTGGCCAGCCCAAAGTCTCCAACTACTGCTTCAAATTCCTCATCCAACAATATATTTGCAGCCTTCACATCACGGTGTATGATCTTAGGATCACAATGATCATGCAAATATGCAAGCCCCCTTGCAGCTCCCAGTGCAATCCGTTTCCTTATAGCCCAATCAAGTGGTGATTGAGACTCCGGACGCTCTAGAGAATGTAAAAATCAGATGAATAGATGGTCCATTGTAACAAGAAGAGATCACAAAGTATTTGGATTCCATGAATTTCTCAAAATTCCACTTGGATTCAAAGACAATCCACATTTACCAAATGTATGAAATTATCAAAAGAAAGTCAATGTTTTAGAACAAGATTAGGATATGTGATCGGTAGTTCAAAATTTCTTCACAAACTGCAGAAACGATAGAGCAGATATTGATATATGAAGCTCACACAAGAATAAGTAGTTTACATCTGAAATGAATTGGTAACCAGAAGAAAATAAATAAAATAAATAACACAAATAATATAAATGCATTGCATAAACAGGAACCATGACTAAAGAAATCAATAAGGAAACAACAGCCGGTACCTCTTAAACAGGATGCAACACTACCATTAAACATAAAAGGATAGACTAGCAGCCGTTCTGTAGGGGTCATGCAAAAGCCACGGAGACGTAGCAAATTCCGATGCACAGCCATACTTATCATTTCTACCTCTGTTTGGAACTGCAACTCTCCACCTTGAGTACGCTCCTCTTTAAGTCTTTTTACTGCCACTAGAGAACCATCAGCCAGGCGACCTTTATAAACTTTACCAAAACCACCTCTACCCAGAATGTTTTTGTTGCTAAAGTTATCTGTTGCCACTTGTAGTTCACGCAAAGAAAACCTTTTAAGCTGTCCCAAATGAACTTCTGGGTCCTCCTCAGCTATAAAGAAAATTAGAAAAAAGTGAAGACATGCACACAACGGCATAATATCAATTAAAACCATCTTTTGAAAAATCACTAACCAGGTACATCAAAGAAATGATCCTCTGGTCTCCTTTTTCGCCACCAAGCAAGTAAAATTGCAGGAGCAGCAAACAGCAGGGCAGCTCCAGCAGCAACTCCTCCAGCAATAGCACCAGTGGCACTATTACCTGCCAATATGAAGTTCAATAAATATAGATACTGTTAGTTTACCTGAATCACGAATATTCATAACTACCAACACTTTCTGCCGGTACCATCATCAATGCAGCAGACAACATTTCAACTCAGAACTTCTGGGTTAGGGGTATCAGAGGTAGAGATAATGTTCTAGCCCACTAAGGAACCTAAAGCCATTCCTAGGACTACCTAACATCATCAGATTTTAGATCTGAACTCAAAGGTAACTTCTTATAAAACAGACATAGATGTAAGAAAATTCAGGATCAGAAAAATACTCAATCTACAGCAATACTTTGCATGCTATAGAACATGGTAATACCAGAAAAGTTGTGAATGCAAAGATAACTTCCACAGAATGAGAATAAATACTAATAAAAGAGAAGCAGGCCCCAAAGTTAGACACAGTTTAGAGTTTTTAGCAGTAATAATACTAAATCAAGAGCAAACCTGATGAAGTTGGAGTTGTAGGTGAGGTAGGAGCTGGTGGAGCAGGTGGAATACTATTCAGTCGATTATTCTTAAAACTGTGAAAAAAAAAAGAAAGATATAGCAATTTAAGAGAGAGGGAACAAGCAGTGGTGGTGAGGTCAGGAGTTAGGGGAGATAAGGTGAGAACAAAATGAGATAGCATAAAAGAAAAACAAAAAACCTGATAGGAGTGAATAGTGAAAAGGAACCGTTAACTGGAATATCTCCCACTAGCTGATTGTTTGAAAGATCCCTGCATCACATAATAACATTTCACACCATTAATATATTGTTCTAGAAGCAAAGGTTACAGCTAATGAAAAAAAAAAAAAAATTCTAACAACAACACTCACAGCACTTGCAGTGAATTAACAGCAGTTAAGGACATAGGAATTTGTCCTGATAATGTGTTATTGTTGAGACGCCTATTCCACAGAAAAGAAAGCATTAATTATATTGCATATTGCTAAGATAACTGGATATTCACTGATAAAAACTCATGGTTAGCGAATAATTTTAGCATAGGTATAACTGAAAAAAAGCCAACTACACCAAAGAAACCATTTCTAATAGCCCAAGCCACCAAAGCATCAGTGGCCCAACAAGTTTTTGGACCCAAACCATGTGGCTCTCAAAAGCTTAACCACCCAGTTGCTAGGATGGGTATCACAGCCCCACCCGCTCAAATTCTTGATGTTCTCATCAAGGCCATATATCACAATCACAATTAAGACCCACTCAACAAAGACCAAGATCTCACCACTGCAGTAAGGGAGCCCACACTAGGCTAGCACTTACAAGATATTGTCCACTTTGAACCAAAAGGTCTCATGGCTTTGTCCGCGACAGGCATCTCAAAATTATAGGTTTAAGGCTCAAATATTCCCAATGTGGGATTTGGGGGATGACAGTGTCGTCATTTAGAATTCACTCAGCTAATATTTTCCACCCATTGGTTATTACACTTGATGTCCAATCAGTCTCTAGTTGTGCAAACAAGATCATGTCTAAAGAAGAGAAGAAAGGAAAACAGTACAGAACTTGGGAGTTAACACCAACAACCACAGTGGAAGGGATTTGGTATTTTGGACCTTAGATAGTCTTTGGCACCATGATTAGGGGTGTAATTGATCGAGTTCGAGCCGATACAGCATTAAGCTCAAGTTTGACTCCAAATTCGAGACTCGAAACTCGGCCCGAGCTTCATCAAATTTTATTTTTTTTGCTCGAGCTTAACTTGAAATAAAAATGGAGCTATTTAAACTCGCTCGATTAGGCTCAATTAACATGTAAAAATAAACTCGATTCTTATATTTAATAAAAGTTTGATTATTTGTGCTCGAGCTTGAGCTCGAGTTCGAGATATTTTATTAATTAAAATAGTAAAAATATATTAAAATATAAAAATTCGATTAGACTCACGAGCTATTCAAGCCGATTATAAAAATGCTCGAACTCAGCTCGATTAATAAGTGGAGCTATTCAAGCTCGACTCGATAATAATCGAGCCGAATTCGAGTTTTATTTAAGTCGAACATGAGTAGCTTGCAAGTACTAATGTATCATTTACACCCCTAACCATGATGGTCCATTTGTAAATTTGTTAGATAAAAGTTATCTTTTTAGGAAACCCATGACTAAACCAATGGGTTTTCAACAATCAAAAAGTCCTCTCAGTTCAGGGAAAGTGTCATTGGTGGCTTTAGGCTCTTATTCCTAATCTAGCAATTTTAGGAGTCCTAATCCAATTATGATTAACTAAATTTATGCTAAAAAATACACAAATGTAAAGTGTGTTCGTACAGGAAACGTAGTTTTGAAAGCTTGCCCAGAGTAGTTGGAATGTTCCCGGTTAAAGCATTCAAGTAAAGATCCAAGCTCACCAAGTTCGTCAAATTTCCTAGCTCCTCTGGGATTGCCCCAGATATGTTATTACTATAAAGCTCCCTGTCATAAAAAATTGACTTAGTAATTCTTGGGCAAAGGAAGTTCAATAGAAGCACATAATTCAAATATCTTTGTATGAAATATGCAACCAAATCCAATGGAATGCAGCCATCTTCAAGATTAAGACGGCATAACCAATAAAAACCAGTGCATAGAGACAAAAGCACACAAAATCTGTGCTCACAACTATTTCTACTTTTTCTAAGGTTGAGTACTGGAATTTCACCCTGAGTTTAACTCAGGCATTTTTCTAAAAAGTTATGATTATCCAATTTTACACAGTTACAAATTTATGAAAAACGATTCCAAATGAAACATATCTACCACAACCAAATCAAGGGAAATTATCTAAAGGAAGCTGTAAACTATAAAAAAAGTCATTAAATATTTGGCAAAGCATGTTGATGTTATTTTCCTTTATTTATTTATCTTTTGCTGCTCAAAATAATTCTAACAATGTGGGGCAGAATGTAATCACCAGGTTCAAAATTATTGACTTACAAATACTGCAAATTTGAGAGCTGCCCGAGCTGTGGAACCAATTGACCAGATAGATTTGCATTCCCAAGATCACTAAATTGACAAAAGGAAAAGCATTTATTACGCCAAACTGAAACTCAAAAGTTACATCAACTGCAGTAGCAAAAAGGTATATTATAAGTAAACTTACACTCTTGTTACACTATTTTCACTATTACATGTAACATGAAACCATGTACAAGGATTAACAAGGGTTGCATCCCAACTTTGCAAAACATTATTAGGGTCAGACAAACCGGTCTTCAAAGCATTCAAAGCATCACCTGTTTCATGCAAAAACAAAGCAATAGATTATTGATGGTTGCAATACATCAGTCCCAGCAGTCAGCAGATATATCTTCTAATGAAACATAACTATTATAAGAAAGTGAACAAACGCTTCCATAATTACCATCATTACTTGCAAATCAAAGAAGTGTGTTTCTCAATTTGCAACAATGGGGGACTTCACAAAGAAAATAGGGTAAAGAACATTTATTGCATTACATAAACTGAAAACTCCAATAGAGACGAAATCATATTATAAAACCATTTGAACTATTGGGATAGGCCAAAACACCACCATAAGTTGAAAGGTTCATCACAATAAACATAATACCATCCAGACCTCGGACATTGATAAAGAAAAAGAATTGTTTAATTTCACTGAACTGAATATGGAGAATTAGAACGCAAATCATATCCAAAATTTTCGCAGAAATTAATCATTACGAAGCGTGCAACTATCCCAACAGTCAAGTCAATTAGTGCACTGAGGCTAACAGGCAGTCAAACCTTACGCCATTGCTAAACCAATCCAAAATTGCTACTAAATTCTTCTAATTTGAATCCTATATATAAAATCGGAATGCAAAAATAGAAAAAAATAAAAGGAAAAAGGAAATAATGATAACGAACCTTCAGCATTTCCCGCGACTCTGAAAACCAAATCCAACACCAAAATCAACCATAAACAAACGCAGATGAATCGCTCCACCATTTTTTTTTTCTTTCTTTGTTTTAGGCTACTTTTGATTTAAAGAGCTAAATCCCCAAAATCGTAATCAATATTCCACTTGATGAATCGTGGAGCCATCAATTCGGTCTAAAACGGGCGTCCAAAACCATCCCCATATTGGTCGTTGACCGAATCAAGGAGCAAAAAAGGAAAACAAACAATAAACTTCGAATAGACTCTTCTCTGAACTAAAGCCAAAAGCAAAAAGAAAGGGAAATGTTTGATTAAAGATTCCAGAAACCTCGACTCTCTTTCCTTCTCTCTCTTTGTCTTCCACAACACAATTATGCTCTCTTTTCTTTTCTTTCTCTCCGAATTTTGGAGGAAATTGGAGAGAAAGAGGGGGAAAGACAAAGAGGATATTGTGTTTGGTAAGGGGGAAAGAAGAAAGAAAAACAAGGGAAGAATCGGACGTGAGTGAGGTTCTTTTTTTCAACTATGAAAATATTAGTTTTTTTTTTTATTTTTTTTCCGGGGTGTAATTTTTAATAATTTTGTTGTCTTAGTCAAAGTAACTCCATTAAAGTCACCAACATGTGTTTTCAAACACCCCCCCCCCCCAACCCAAAAAAAGAAAACATTTATTGACAAATAAACTGTAGTAGGAGATGAAAAGTTAACAGGGCAGGGAAATGAAAGCGGGTCAAAGACGCACGATTCAAAACAAGTGGGCCCCACTCCTCCTTCGCCTTCTCTTCCTTGTCTTTGTTATTACAAGCGAGAAGAAAATAATTTGTATCAGAGTTTGGTTTTTTCTATTTAGTCAGACCTCAACCTTCTCTCAGGAAAAAAAAAAAACAGTCAAAAAATAAAAAATTGATGTAAAATTATAGTGTTGAGTTTGTTTTGTATTAAATTTTTTATTCGATTTGAATTAAATTTAAATATTAAATAAAATTGAATTTTGGATTGAAAAGTACTAAACCAAATTTTTTTTTTTTGTCTAAATCAAATTATATACTTTTGTTAGCTTTAATGAATATTTTAAATTTTTATAAAATAAAAAAATCATTTTATATTTAATTTTATTTAAATATACTTTAAATTATATTAAAATAATATATAAAAATTAAATTTCAAAATCAATTAACAAAACTAAATGGATAAAATTTATTCTGAACATGATAGATTTTAAAAAATATCAATTTTAATTCAAATTAAATTTCAAAATTTTATAATATTATATATTATTAAAAAAATTAAATTAAATCTGATTTGATTCCAACTATTATCACTTTTACCCTAACTCCGTCCTTAAAAAAAGCAAGCTTTACCTTCTTTTCAACGTCATAATAAGAGATTATTACAGACATGAAAAAATTATTATTTGGATTTCATCATTTTTATTATCAAATAAAAAAATTTTAACGTTACAATTGATATTAAGAGGATGATGTAAAATATCTTAATTTTATAATTATTATATTTATTTTTTAATATATTTTAAAATATATACCATTCCATGAATTTTGTTTATAAAATCTAAAAATTTTACTATCAATTTTTATGATAATTTATGTTTTATTATATATATATTTTTTCATTTAGATTGTTAAGATTGAAATATTTATTCGTAATTATAATATCTTATCGTGACACATGACAATAAATGAAACAAAAAGTTATGATCCTATATAAACTTGATTCTGTCGGAATTATTACAAAATTTTGATTATAATTACAAAAATTAAACTGAAATCAAATTTATTATAGGGGATGTCAGGAAATAATTACAAGAAAGAGACGTTGTGGGAGATAAATTTATGTAAGAACTTAATTAGTGTGGTAAATAGAGACAAGTAGCACAAATTACAAGCACTTTGATTTTGTTTATTTGTTTTTTTCCTGAACAAAGAAGTAAAATAGTCGGAAATGGGTAGGATGAAGGAGATGGTAATCGGATTTGAGTTGGAAAATTTTGGCATACTTATTAAAGGGACCACTCACTCAAGGTTGATAGTTGACCAAAATTTGTGAAAGCAATTGGCAGACTAATCATCCCTTTACTGAGTCTTACTCAAAAGTATTATCGGCAGTGAATTTTTTTAGGATGCGATAATTACAGATTTAGAATTTTGGGTATTAAATTAAAAAAATCAAAAAATGAAGAACATCTTACGTAATTTGTAGTTCCACTATATCTATAGCTCAATAAAATAGCTATAATTTCTTGAAAAATAATCACATTAAAAGAATATTTAAAGACCAAATAATTGGTGAGCAAAAAGACAGAAAATTCAAGAGCCATCAAAGAGCAGTAGAGATTACAAATTTACAATTTAATGGAAAAGCAAACTTGGGATGGGCAAGAATTTGATGTTTTGGGCCCATAACTTGGAGAGCGTGGTCAAGACGGTGTAGGAGTAGGACACCTTCGGCTTGACTTGAAACATAGCCAACCGTGCAGGAAAATCTATATGGCTATACGTGTTGCAGGTTTCACTAGACAATTTTTTTAAGCGTAATTTTTATAGATGTTATAACGATTAAACACAAGTCTTTATTTTTAAAAAAAATTAAGATATTACAAAATAAACCTATTATTTCTACCAGAACAGCAGAAATATTTCTTCTAGGCTGCCTGCCTAGAACAGTAGTGAAGAGATATTCTTCATATTTCTACTGGTCCATATAATATAAACTGCAGTAAAGCTGTCATATATACCAGGAAAGCAAAATGAGCAATGGAAATGGAGTATTAAAACACAAGGAACAACAAGAACGCTCCATATTTAAGACTTTCTATTGTTTTTCCTTTGGGTGCCTAATTCTCCGTATTGGAAATGTTAGAACTAATTCAAGCTCACGAAGTCACTGATTTATGCTTAAAACTAAAATTAAATACTAAACTCTAAATGGGTAAAAGCTGAAACCCATTGAACCCAAATTGTTAGAGTTATTACCGATAATAGAGCCTCGTCAGAGTTGTCATTGGTGGTGGCTGAAGCTGGTCCGATTCTGGTGGCCATGCGTGGAGAGGAGGCTGCACTGTTTGAGAGAAAAACTACACGCTTCCCTCACAAACTGAAGTTGTAATGCTCAATGTACTAGCATTACATACATGGAAAGAATGAGTGTAGGGACCCTCTCATTTACATGCAATGTCCCATCCCATTATGGGATCTATACAAAAATAACAACAGATCATATTTAATTAATATAATACCACTATAATTATTCATAATTTAACCTTAATTAACCTCCGAATTACTTGACTTTATTTGTCTATAGTATAAGATAAATGCAACAATCTCTCACAACACAATCTAATTCTGAATATTTTGAAAATATATCATAACTTATATATACAAAGTTGTACATTTAAAATACAAATTTGGATTAAGAAAACGATTGTGACCAAAATTGTCAAAGACCAATAACACTTGAATCATCATGTAACAAAATGAACATTTATAAATACCATAATACATTATACTAATATGATTCAAATGTATGGACTTATATACTCACTACAATCAACAAGTATTTATAAGTCTTAAAATGTACTATATTAATAGGATACATGTATATAGATTTATCAATACTTTACCAACAATAGTAAGTATTTATGAGCCCCTAGAATACCAGGGATTCAACTATGGTTATTAGCTTAACTTTTATCTTGAGTGTTAGGATAATAAACATATCATGAACTTATTTAATAAAAACAATGATAGGGATATCAAAAGCTATACATGCCATAGACTTATGATGATTTACTATTAATTTATTGACGATTTAATAAAAATTATCAATAATTAACTAATTCATTACTAAATTATCATTTATTTATAATTAACTTATTAGTAATTATTATTATGTTATTAGTGAGTTACTATTAAGTTATCAATTTATTATTAAATTATTAATAATTTATTACTATATTATCATTGATTTACTACTTAATTTTTTATTATTTATTACAAAATTATTATAAATTTTATTATTAAATCATCCATGAGCCACTATTAAGTTATCATTGATTTATATTAAATTATACATAATTTACTATTAAGTTATCACTTATTAAGTATTAAGTTATCGATAATTTACTATTAAATTATACTAATTTACTTTTATGTTTCTAATAATTAACTATTAAATTATCAATTACTTATTATTATGTTATGATTGATTTACCCATAAATTATTTGTGATTTACTATATAGTAGTAAACATAAACATATTTATTGTTTAATTATCAATAATTTACTATTAAATTATCATTAATTTATTACTAAGTTATTAATGATTAACTACTAAGTTATCACATATTTTATAATAAATTATCATTGATTTATTATTATATTGTTTTATATTTCAACTATATCATAATTGATTTACTATTAAATTACTATGCATTTAATATTGCGTTATTTACTACTAAATTATCAATTATTAACTTCTAAATTATCATTCATTCACCATTAAATTATTAGAATATACTATTTAGTTATCTATTATTTAGTATTAAGTTATCACCGATTAACATTAAGTTATCGATAATTACTATTAAGTTATACTGATTACTTTTAAGTTTTTAATGATTAATTACTAAGTTATTCATTATCTACTACTATATTATCATTGATTTGCATGTATCAAGAAAGAAAATAATCACATTATATGTCAAATGATGTATTTTGTAAGATACAGAAAGAAATAAAGAAAAAGTTTTAAGCATAAATGCCTTGAAAAGTAATGAGTAAATGCTCTTAATTTGTTATTTGTAGTTTAACATGTAATAATAAATTAAAATCATAACTTTTTATGTTAATGCAAATATCAAACTTAAAATTAATTAAATATATACAATATATATTAAATCAATATTTTTAAGATATTTTTAAAATTTTTTAGTTCATGATAAAATAGTATATATTAAAATAAGCTTTAATGAATATTTGATTGAATTATTAATGTATGTATTTTCATAGTTGTTCTTATATTTCTATATTTAAGTATATAATTTTGGATAAAAATTTTATTATATATATAAGATAAAAGTAATGAGAAAAAAATTACTAAATAAAATTTATAAAAAAAAAAGACAATAAATTTAAAAAAATTAATTTCACAATAATTACTTTTGTATTTTCCTTCACAAGTTTCTTCTACTAAATGAAAAAAAATGATATTTCTAATTGTTGTGTCATTTTTAAGACCATCATTCAAAACGATTTTTTTGATATTTTGATACTAACAAACTTTTTTATTTGAAAAGAGTAAAAAATATTATAAGGGATCATAACAATCAAAATTATATTTAACTATATGTTGTATTCTTAAATGAGTATGAACAATGATATCTATTCCAAATGAAATATTTGAGTTGTTTTCTTTAACTCATCTAGCAATAACTTGATCAACAAATGAACGATTATAAACTCATTAATCTAAATTAATATTTATACAATATGAATTTTAAAATCTTTAAAAGAAGGTATATCTTTTAATCTTTATAAAACTTGAGTATAAAGATTTTCTTTTAAAATTATTATTATTATCTCCATAACTTTTGTGCTTAAATTTTCATTATGT